TAATGATTTGAACATTCATACCTTGCAACTCAATCATTTGCTTTTCTGTGATGTTTTTGATTTTCATTGCTGTTGCGAATTCTGCTGATTTGTCATCAAAATAATGTAATCTAGCTGGCTAGCATAGATAACTTATTATTTTAGTATTATTTATATACTATTATAGTATTTATTCAGATTTTGAATCAGCATTTTTTTAAATGTTTTGAGATTTCATTTTAATTCTAGCTTTAAAAGTTGTTTTAGATTTTTTTTTTTTTATTATGTGCTTAAGACTTTAAAAAAAAAAAAGTAAACTAAGTTTTAGTTAACAATAACAATACTGTCTTGAAAACAGCAGTAGTGTGTGGAAAACTACAAAGCAATCAGTTTGCATTGTATGCCATCATGTTATAGCTGTATAATTCACAGCTTAGTTACTTTCTCTCTTTTCTTATTTATTTTTTTAAAGAAGATTTTGTAAAGTAATATTGAAAAATATAAACATTTCTAACAAATATACAAATGCATTGCTAAAATAATTTGAATTAGTCTCCTTATCTTATTAAAGGATAACAACCACAACAATTTTTGGTCATTTTACCTCTTTTCTATGGAGTCTGAAGAACCAGCATTTGTTTGCAAACCATCATTTTAATCTATATTTGAGCTGCAAAGAGTGACATTCTTTCATTCTGACGATTTATCCAAAACCAAAAAACTACATGCACTAGAATTCTACAGTGCAGTTGTTACAATTCCATACATCTGTACACAGTGATCGAGAAGTCTGAAAAGAGTTGGAGATGTGTGTGAGAGAGAAATGTACTTCGTTCATGACTGTGTCTGCTCCGATGATGTAATCCGTGTGTGGTCTTAAACCTGCTAATGCTGCTGGAGAATTTGGCTCCACTTCCTACAAAACAGACAAATTATGCATGAAAAAAAAAGTGAGTGAGGCTTGCATTCCATCTTACAGCTCGACCGACCGGTCTGCTTTACAAGAGCACGCCCTTGTTAAACACCTTGCTGAATTATGACTAATTAACCAAAAGTTGTTCATCAAAATGAGGTCAAAGCAAACATGTTATTTTCATCAAAAGCCACCCCACCCTTACAAAATACGCAGCGTAAATAACTCATGCCTGCAGCTTTCTCTGATTGCATTCATCACTCTTTCATTTACTCACCAAAACATGCCAGACGTTCTCATTGGCTCCCTCAAAGCTGCAAAAGCGGATGCTGACCCCCAGAAGACCCTGACCGCCCCACATATTGCTAGGAGTAACGGTGGCTTCCCGCAGCTCCAGGGTTTTGCTGCTGTACACCTGCATCTTCACCGGTTTTTCAACACTAGCCTTCAGTACGTCTTTCAACGTGTCATTATCCTTGTTCTTGGGGAAAAAATTAAAGCAAAAACAACATTTATGGTTGACACATTTCTACTGTCACACATGGTGTACAGCATGCATATATATATATATATATACTTTTTTTTTTTTTTTTCAAACTGTGTGGTCCAGGTGTACATTTATCAGTTTTTACAATGGCTTCAAATGGGGTTCATCCAATCAGATTTTAGAGTCAGAACTGTCCGCTTTACTGTTTAGAGTCTCTAAAGCATTAGATAATGTCAGATTTTCATTTCTAATGTATTTAACCAGAGGTGTAAAGAGTACCTGAAAACCATACTTGAGTAAAAGTACAGGTACCTTAAGAGTATCTGATTTGAACAGTACTTAAGTATTTTACTTATACTAAATATAGGCTTAAAGATGCACTAGTCAACAAGGAGTTGATTTGTGAGAAGAGCAATCACGTTTATTCTCTAACACCTCAAAATTGCAAAAAGAACAAAACTATATCCATCAAAAAGGTCTCTTTATTATAACGGATAAATAAAATAATATACTTATAATATATACGTTTTTTTTTTGCTTAATTTGTTTATTGGAATTTTACTATAATAACAGGAATACAGGAGAATAGCGAAAAAATTATTAAAAAGTCTTCTTGCACTGGATGAGATAGTTTCGGCCTCATTACCGTTGCTAATGCATTCACGTAAAGTAGACTTGTTGACAAGTTTGACAAGTTGGCGATAGTAGAAATAAACTGCTGCAGAAAAAGCTAGGAGCCATGCTAAATATAATGTGTAACTGAACCACTCATTACAAATGTAGTGAAGTAGAGAGTAAAAGCTGCTAATATCTTTGATACTCAGTAAAACTACAGAGTATCCAAAAAAGATACATGTACAATAATTAATTTCTCAAATTCTTTACACCTCTGTATTTAACTCTGGATTATCCCAAAATTGGCATTATTACACAGTTATTCAAAACATAAACAAATTTGAAATGCCTAACATCTGTTCTTATAGAGTAAATTAAATGTATGCATTTAGCAGACGCTTTTATCCAAAGCGATTCAGGCTATACATTTTTTATCAGTATGTGTATGAGTAAATCAAGCTTGCTTCTTGACTCGATGAATAGCCGATAGATGATAGATGCTCCTCACCATGTGCAACAAACCTACCAGTCTGGTGTTGTTGATGGACACAATGAAGTCAAAGAAGGGTTCGAGACCTGCTCTATGACCGGGAGAATTCTCCTGCACCTGCACAACACAGAAAACACCCCATTTAACATTCAAATAGAACCAACAAATGACTCATTAAAACAAAAAACAAACATTAAAATCGTCTAGCAGAACTCTAAACTGGGATAGATCATGCGATAATAAACTTTATCACAAGTAATTGTCAAAATAGACACTTAACCTTTCTATCAGACACTTGACTGAGATGCCACATTTGAAAATAAGCAGTCATGCATCTATGCACCCAGTTATTAAAATGACATGCAGTTTATACACATTATATTTCCTTATATAAACTGCATTAGTCTGGGTCAATCCGAGTTGTGTGAGATTAATAATACACATATAAACAGTAAAGCATCATGACATGTAGTAAGCTTCTTCAACAACAATTTTAGGGGAAAAACATTTTGTACAGTAGGATAAATGAAGTTGTGCGTTTTAAAAGGTATCAGTCTTTGCATGTCAAATGCTGGAAAACTCCCATGCATTATCTTTACATTTAACAGCAGAGATTTTCATTTAGCCACATTAGCTTTTAGCCACGGTTAACAGGCCGCACTGACATCCTCGGCCTCGATTTGAACTCTGCGCCGCAAGCGACACGCGATGTACCGCATGAGTGAAAGGGAGAGACCAAGAGAGCGGAAGCATCTCTAAAAAAAACACACTCACTCTGAGAACGTGATAGCCCTCCGAACCGCCTCCGGGAATTTCCACGCTCTGTGATCCCCCCATGATCCCCGCTCCGTGTCAGCGGTGAGAAGGATATTATCCGTTTTATTGTTTTCTCCCACCAACCGGTTTTGCGGGCAGAAGCGTCGAGTCTCCAGGGATGCGCGCGACGGCGGCGAATGACGTGGCAGACGGTGCAAGGAGGAGGGCTCGCGCTTATGTGGCGCACAGGTGAGACTGCGGCAAGGCCCCGCTCCTCGTGTTATGAATCAAGGAAGCATGGTTTATTTCTAACTCATAAGTGAACGATAAGATGCGACACTTTAGAAGACACGGTAGCGATATCGAATTCGTGAATGAATCATTCACGCGAGTCGGATCTTTTTGATGAGTCGTTTGAACCGTGCACAAACATATCTAAATGATTCGTTCACGAGCCGAACCCTTTTTTTTTTGGGGACATCCCGTTTTTATAAATGCCCTTCTCTTTCTGTGTTTGTGTGTTTTTGCATATACTCTGCCAATAAAAAGAATACATCATTATTTTATTTATTATTATTTTTTTAATCTCCAAACGTTACACATAGAGGATAAAGGTTGGTAGTATTTGCTGACTTGATTACGTAGTATTAAAATTGTACAAAATGCATCCTTTTTTTTTAGGTTTGATTTGATGTTGTCCACTAGGGGGCATATTGCCATGTCACTCTGTAGATGTGCTGACCCCTGTGGCAAATAAATGATAATACAGAAAGCAAGAAACTACAGACCACTAAAAGAAAAACGTGATAAAAGGAGTCATGTTAAATAGACTATAACTCACATTTATAGTCCTTTCTTTGATCTTTGTATCATTTTTACATTTACTTCTTGTGATCCAAATGAAGTATAAATGATAAAAAGTACCTTGTACAGTATTTTGAACATAGTAGCATGGTAACTTTTTATGGGGACCATGGTATCTAAAGGTATGACTTTTTAAAAATATATATATTAGTATTATAATAACACCATTATAATTATGATAGCTTATATATATATAATTTTTTTCCTGATAGTACCATGGTAAGTCCATGGCATAAGAATACGGCAATCATTCGGTGTTATGGTTATCTTCTGTATCAAAATGCAAAGGTATTGTCGACTTACACCATTATTTGTTTTTAGGTATTTTTGCTGCAGTATTTTTTGTGAGGGCATTTTGATAGTATTTTTCATATATAAACCAGATTTAAATAGCTATTTAAAAGGGTTTATAATTTCTATTGTGTATCGCCAAAATATATGAATATATGCTAAATATATGTTGTAAATTGTGAAGCTGTTTACAGCATGTATTTAGCCTACATTTAGGCTAAATGCAAATATGCATTTTAAAAATATACTTGCAAAAAACATATTGGTAGAACATTTTTATTTTGAATTATTTTATATTTTTAGCCCTTTTTTGTGTATATTTTGAAATACATTTGAATATTATGACATACATTCTAGTGCCTAAGATCAGCTGGTTAAAAATGAGAATGAAATCAAAGAAAACGCAAACAAACTCAGTGTGAAGTGCAAGTTTATTATATGCTTTAAAATCAAGGTGCAAGATGTTACATTTGAGAAAGACGACTAATAGAACATTCTTATACTTTAATAGCTTTTATTGTGCCGTGTACACGTGTTTATAACAGTTTATATATAATGTGATTGCATTTTAAAGTGCCAGCCTTACTGAGGAGACCAGATCGCCCTCCTCACATTCACATACAGTCAACAATAGAGGAAAAAGATAATTGTGCATTTGTCAAAAACACTTTGAACAAATATGAATGAATGGAATAAACAGTCATCTTTCACATGTTCCAAAGACAACAGCTGAATCTAAATACTGCATATCAATAAACTTGTAATAAATATCAATATGACCACAATCTTCCAGCATCCTGAGGACATTTCCAGCCTTCCTTCTAAGTTTGTGCTTTTTGCTTTATTGTTTTCTTTTGTTATTTCTTCTCTCTTTTTTTAAATATGATGCTATAATCGCCTGAGTTGAATATCAATAATCAGTAATATACATCTGGTAACTAACTACCTTCAGATAATTGATAGGATTGCTTATAACATTCAGTCAAAGATGCACACGGTAACATTATAACACTAACACACTGAGTTAAGGGCCTGAACAACAAACATATACAATATATTCATATTTATATAAATGTCTATAGATTTATACTATCATTTATACGCTTGCTTATTTCGAAGAATATTGAGTATATTGTAAATTATGGCACTAGTTCTGTCTTTGGCTCACAAGTACACTACTGGACCATAAACATTAGCCTAAACTTGTTTGATTATATATAACTTGTCTTAAAATACAAATGAAGAACTGTTACAAATGGGAGAAATACCTTTTAAACACCGTTGGCTCACAATATAAATAAAGTCTTTGTTTATAGATTTATATCATTACATTTCAAACTGAAAACTGAACGTTTCACCTCACAAAGGTGTTGATTAAACACTTTACATGACCTACTACAAGGTAAGTTTAGGAAACACAACACTAAAATACAGATCAACCACTGGTTTACACACAGACCCCACTATGACACAGAAAGGGGTTCGAGCTGCATTAAAAGGGTGGTGCGTCTTTGCATTTGTATTTACAAACACAAGCACCGACATGATCCCAATGGATTTAAACTGTGTTATAAGGTGACTGTGTAGCTATACAGGCTACGTGATCTGTAAGTTAAAGATCTAAAGACATTGAGAAAAAGGACAGAACATATTGGACCACAATACGATGTCGAAACACAGCCATTGAATGTGTAGACCGTGCGACTGTCCTGTCGAGATGCCTGAGCCTCGTTAGTGTACAGAGCTGCAGTTCTCTGCTCTTAAACGCCGTGACCCAGCCTCTCGATCTCATCGATGAGGAAATCGATGTCAGACTTGGTGACGGCGTGATTGGAGACAACCATTCGGAAGAAGTTGACCTTGTCTCCTTGTGGCTGGTATCCTACCATGGTTGTGCCGCACTCCATCATCATTGCTTTGATCTTCGGTGCCACCTGCAAGGGAGACGGCATAATTTATGACGGGTTTGTAGTGATGGGAGAAACGGAGCTCAGCTGAACTAATTTCTTCGTAAAATGATTCATTGTTTCAAAGCGCTCCAAACTCTGGCGGCACATGCTGACTCGAAACGGTGTAAATGGAATGAAAAGACAATCCAAACTTGTATATATGATGACAATTGCAAATGTTTTCATGAAAGTGATATCTATTATGTATTCTACAAATAACTAAATACCATCGACACTTTTAAAAATAAAGGTTCTTTATTGGCATCGATGGTTTCATGAAGAACCTTTAACATCCAAAATGTTCTTCACACTAAGAAAAAATTGTTCTTTTAAAGGAATAGTTCACCCAAAAATGAAAATTAGCTGAAAATTTCAAGATGTGGATGAGTTTGTTTCTTCATCTGGATCCTCTGCAGTGAATGGGTGCCGTCAGAAAAAAAAACATCCACAAGCAATCCACACAACCTCTTTAATTAACTTCTTGTTTTAACTTTAAACCGCTGCATATAATTCTCTCCTGATTCAGACAAAATGACTTTTTCACTGGAGGAAGCGTTATTATAGATTATGGCCTGGTATTTTAGCCAGAAGCAACGTCTTAATGGTGGATTTGTTTCTTACAAACATGCATATTTTCACCTCACAAGACATTAACTGATGGACTGGAGTGGTGTGGATTACTTGTGGATTATTGTTTTTTTCAGCTGTTTGGACTCTCATTCTGACGGCACCCATTCACTGCAGAGGATCCATTGGTGAGCGAGTGATGGAATGATGAATTTCTCCAAATTTGTTCCAATGAAGAAACAAATTCTACATCTTGGATATGGGTAAATTTTCGGCTGAATTATTCCTTTAAGAACTGAGTTTGTTTTGAGTTTAAAGATTCTTTGGGGAACCCAAAATGGTTCTTCTATGGCTTTTGTAAACTTTATTTTTAAGAGTACAGCGGCGAATCCTTGGAATTTTGGAACCAAGTTTCAAAAAAGTAATGACGTATACTCTTAAAAATAAAGGTGCTTCACGATGCCATAGAAGAATCTTTTTGTCTTAATGGTTCCATAAAGAACCTTTAACATCTGAAGAACCTTTCTGTTTCACAAAAGGTTCTTCATGGCGAAATAAGGTTCTTCAGATTACAAAAAGGTAAGAAAGAGATGGTTCTTTAAAGAACCTTTGACTGAATGCTTCTTTGTGGAACCAAAAATGGTTCTTCTATGGCATCGCTTGAAGAACCTTTTGAAGCACCTTTATTTTTAAGAGTGAATGAAACCTCATCACGTGACTCTTTGATAAAAGCTCCGAACCACTGATTTGAAACAAAAGATTCGTTTTGATCACTACTAGTTTGTGTGCTTGTTAGTCTCGTTTCTTGATAATTGAAATGAGATGAAGTACCCTGTGTAGTTTCTCCCTTCTTTCGTCTCCATCTGGCATGCCACGCAAGCTTGGTGGAATATACCAGAAGCAAACATTTGAGTGCTGGGGCTGCAGAGAACAAAAGAAAGCAATTAGAATAGTCCTTACATTCAGTATTAGGTAAGCAGTTCTTTCAATCTATACGTAAATATGTGTGTGCCATATACAAACCTGTCCCTCAAAGACCATTTCATATCCCTCACGGTTCTTGATTTTATTGTAGAGATATTCAGAAATCTCCAGACATCTGTCAATGTGCTGCTCAAACCCAATTGTGCCCTGCACGGATCAAATTCACCAGTCAGAATAAAAATGTGTGTTTCTCAGCAAAATACTCATTGCTATTACCACATAATTGTCTTTATTTGTATAGTACATACATACCACTTTACCTGCATACATACTGTACAGTATACTCAGGTAACATGTAAAAAGAAATATACTGTATAGCAAATCTTGGCTGTGTGATTGTTTATATTGTTGCAAAAACGTAAACCATTATTGCAAATATTATATCAAACTTTTTGTGCATATATACAGCACTCTCACATAAAGCAACATATAGTATAGAGCAAATCTCAACTACTACTTTTTTTATTTTGTTGCAAAATGTGATTATATTATCACCCAGCTCTTTATATAAAGTTTTTTTTATCTGCACACATACAGGATACTCATATATACCTGCAAATACCTGCTTGATTGTTTATTTGGTCACAATATATAAATTATATTATTGCCCAGCTCTAATCTGCTAAATGCAACTATACGTTATGAAGATATTAAGATACATCATCATGATTTTCTGTGAAGCTGCTTTTGAAGCAATGTGTATTGTGAAAAGCACTATATAAATTAATTTGACTTGACATGACATAGCTGCAGCTGTCGTGACCCACCTTGGCCTTCCACATGAGCCAGAATTTGAAGATGTCTACATGTCTGCCACACTGGATGGCCTTGTCGCCGGTGTCGTAGTTCACATCATACTGTTTGTCTGGTTGGAAGAGGTATCCAGCGCACATGGAGTTGCAGCCCTGCAGAATGCCCTGCAACAGAAGCACATCTCCTGTGATGATCAGTAGCTGTATAACTAAACTCTAAATGTATTTGAATTCACTTGATCTACATGTATTCATTTAGCAAATTTATCCAAATAAGTTAGGTGTGTAAGTGCATATCCAAGATTTTCATTTAGACTTGTACACTGTACACTTGTAGACTTGTACACTACTGTTCAGAGGTTTGGGGTCTGTATTTTAATGTTTTTGAAAGAAGTCTCTTCTGCTCAACAAGGCTGCATTTATTTGATAAAAAAATACAGTAAAAACAGTAATATTGTGAAATATTATTACAATTTGAAAAAACTGTTTTCTATTTGAATATATTGTAAAATGTAATTTATTTCTGTGATCAAAGCTGAATTTTCAGCATAATTACTCCAGTCTTCAGAGTCACATGATCTTCAGAAATCATAATAATATGCTGATTTGCTGCTCAAGAAACATTTATTATTATTATCAATGTTGAAAACAGTTGTCCTGTTTTTTTCTCACTATTCTTTGATGAACAGAAAGTTCAAAAGAACAGCATTGATTTGAAATAGAAATCTTTTGTAAAATTATGAATGTCTTTATTGTCACTTTTGATCAATTTAATGTGTCCTTGCTGAATATAAATATTAATTTCTTTCAAAAAATCTTACTGACCCCAAAACTTTTGAATGGTTGTGTATATAGATGGGCTTTTCCAAGGCAAATGTTAATACCAGATGTAAATGGGACCCTAGTGTGTGATAAATCCTGCCTGTTTATGTCTTTATGTGTTGTCTTTGACTGTTTGCTGTCTCACCTTCTCTCTAACCAGGATGGCTGAACATTGCAATGGTACACCCATCATCTTATGAGGGTTCCATGTGACCGAGTTTGCTCTGAAACAAACAGACATGTGGGTTTTCAGGTCACACTGCACAATTACTGTGATATACAGTCATTTTAGTGCCTCATCTCGTGTGATTTGACATACCTCTCAATGCCGCTTAGCTTGTGACGGTGTTTCCTGGACATTAACAGTCCTCCGCCCCATGCACCCTGACGATATACAAACACCACTGACCGACTGATTTAAGATGTTTAATTCATTTATTCAATGGACAATTTATTAAATTCAGCTAGTTACCATTTCAGCTAATTCTGAAAGCACTCATTGGAAATGCATGTATATGTTTGAGTCAAGCTTACATCCACATGTAACCACAGGTTGTACTTCTCACAGATGTCTGCAATGTCATTGATGGGATCGAATGCTCCATATACTGTGGTCCCAGCCGTTGCGTTCACAAACAGTGGCACGTAACCCTGAAATAAACATTTAAAATCACATTCACTGTTGATAGTACACGGCCTAAAGATAGTGCCCTAACAGCAGAGTGCCACTTTATTAACAGAGAGGCTTAGAATTAGTACGTAAAGATCAAATCATCCATCAGCTTGAGATTTCCTGCTCCAGTATTGATCCACTTAACTCTTCAGGCACTGAGGTTAAATACTCTCACTAGCTTGTCTCAGCAACACAGAACAGCGCAGTGAGTCTGAGCATCTGCTTACCTTCTGTTTGGCATCAGTGACCTTGGCCTCTAAGTCAGCAGGTATGACACGCCCCCTGAAATAAGACAGCCAATGAGGTGCAAGTGGGAGGGACTCATCAAATAAAACATGAGCTTTGAAAGAAAGTAACAGTGGTTAATAGCTAAAAAAAAAAAGATACCGCTCATCTGTCTTCAGAAGAATTACGTTTTCTTTGCCAAATCCCAGTACTGCTCCTGCCTTTTTGATTGAATAATGACTCTGCAAAAAACAAACAGAAAAAAGAAAATGCAAACATGAGCGTATATGCATATCAAATGTGATATATAACATATCAAATATATTTTTGAGCTCAGCATCAAATCAGCAGAAGTGTTTTTTTTTCCAAGATGCAGGGCTGTGTAAAATATGACCCCTAGAGGAAGACAAATCCTCTGTTTAACTGCAGTGGCAGTGGGTACTTACATGTTCAGAAGTGAAAAGCACGAGTCGTGGTGCTGCAGACATGCCTTTGGTTTTGACTTCAGGGAAATACTTGTACCGCGCAACCATCACACTGTACATGTTTGATATGGCACCACCTGTGAACAGATTCATCGCATTACAGCAGCTAAATGAAATGTGTTAAAGAATAGGCCTAGGCTAGAGTTCATCCAACACGAAAATATGTAGTCATTTCCTAATCCCCTAATTTTATGCATAACCTATTTAATTTTTATTATGTCTTTTGGGTCACGGTTTTAATGGTAGCTAATATTAGGTCTACATCTATCGGGTGTTATGGATCAGTTTACCTGGTGAGAAGAGTCCATCGCCATCACCATTAGGCCAGCCAATGATCTCTCTCATCTTCTTGAGGGTCAGTTGCTCCATCAGAACAAACACAGGAGCGATTTCATATGTGAACCTGAGCAACACACAGGAAGACCATGTTTAGTCACATTTACACTAAAAAAATGGTGTAGAAACTTTTCACTTAGAAATGGCTTGTAAATATTACAATTGATTAAAAGAAACGGCAAGCAACACTTTGAATTAAACACGATTTCATATGTGAACCTGAGCAACACACAGGAAGACCATGTTTAGTCACATTTACACTAAAAAAATGGTGTAGAAACAATTTTCACTTAGAAATGGCTTGTAAATATTACAATTGATTAAAAGAAACGGCAAGCAACACTTTGAATTAAACGTGAAATTTTGAAAGTGTAAAACTTACTCCAATTATTTGTTTTATTTACAGCATTGAAAATGCATCTTTTAAGTACACAGAAAAAAATAAGGTGGGAAAAATTTGAACCTACACTCTAAAAAATGCTGGGTTCAAATATGGACTAACCCAACTGTTGGGTTAAAAAGCTTGGGTTAGTCCATATTTGACCCAACATTGGGTTGAAACAACCCAGCATTTTTTAGAGTGTATAGTTCTACAATCCAATAATAGTGTTTAAAAGCAATTACACTTTTAGTGAAAATAATGAAGGCTATTTTTGTAAATGATTCTAAATCTAATTTTTTGCTACATTATTTCACATTATTTTAGTGGTGATTCGTACTCGAATACTCTAATACAATTATTTGACCCAACATTGGGTTGAAACAACCCAGCATTTTTTAGAGTGTATAGTTCTACAATCCGATAATAGTGTTTAAAAGCAATTACACTTTTAGTGAAAATAATGCTATTTTTGTAAATGATTCTAAATCTAATTTTTTGCTACATTATTTCACATTATTTTAGTGGTGATTCGTACTCGAATACTCTAATACAATGATTTTTGTTTACTTAATAGCAGCATTAATGCAATTAATATATATATATATATATCAAATTTGATTTATTTTTATATTTTTTTGAAAATTGATTTGGACATGGTTATGAGGTTTGTAATACTTCTGTTCCACTTCTGCAAATTGTCAAAATTTGGCAACAGCTGCTTCAGAGAATCAGGCATCACAGGTTCCTGTTCCATTCTGTCCCTCTCGGCTGCTTTGAATATTGCTAATTAAAAGACGGCTGTGATAGACTAGATAAGGGCTCATTTCAGGCTGTTCTAATGCAGGGAGGCAGTACTCCGATGGCTATCTGTCCGTCCGAGTTCATCCTGAAGGGGGACAGACGGCGTCAAATGAGGGGACGGCTGCGCGCGCGAGATAAGACCACGCTTCATTCACAGAAAGGACGGACGAAAGAGGATGAGCGTGTGATGGAACACAACTAGGACACGGAGTAGCCCCGGGCAGACTCATTGTTCAGCTCCGTCACGAAAAGGAACAAAGATTTGAGACAGTAAAATAACGGGGAATCATCAATAACATGCAGCGAAAACATGATTCCAGCTATCATAGTGTCGTATAAATAGAGCAATGTTTCTCGCGCAGGCCTTACACGTGTTGGATTTGACTAATTGCATTTTCATGTACAAAGGAGGAGAAACCAACAGGAAATCGACTACCTGCCTGAATGCACAATGCATATTGGGCCCGTTATATTCACTATTATGAAATTAAAAATGCATTGTGTGATATACATTTGCATAACAAAATCATAATCATATAAACACAACACGTTGGTCAAGTGAACTAGAGAGACCATCCATAATATCTATCTATCTATCTATCTATCTATCTATCTATCTATCTATCTATCTATCTATCTATCTATCTATCTATTTAATCAATTATGTATTTTTGTGACAGTTGTCTTATCAATGATTAGACAGCAAAAATGATTTTTGTCTTGTTTTCCATCACAAAAATATGGGGTGAGAAAAATAATCGTTTTCTCTTTGAATTAAGTTCATTTTTCTTGCATTGGCAGATATTTTTCTTATTTCAAGCAGAAACCCTCTTAATTTTGATACAAAACTTAATGTCATAATTTTGTTTCTCAAATGTTTAGATAGATGATTTTTTTTGCTGTGTTATACACAATGTCTATTTCAACTTAAAAGTGTAAATATTGTGTAATTTAACAATAGTATTTACTGTATTGCGCATTAAATTTGATCAGCATTATATTGCCATATCAATATCTGCATCAACTATTGAAAATCATTTGTCATTTGGCTCTACTAGCAACCACCCCAAAACCTTAGCAACCACTTAGCAACACCCTAGAAACACACTTAACTCTTCTTGTCTTTTATGTGAAGCTATTTTGAGGGTGTTCTGTGTGTGTGTGTGTGTCAGTCCATTAGCTGCCGGTCAGTGTGTGTCACTGCTGATGAGAAATAATGGGTCTAAATCAGTCACGGTGAATAATGACTGAATAAGCAGCATTTGCATTCCGTGCATTCACTGAATCACAGACACGAGGATACTCCCCTTTCTCTTCTCACAAAGAGTGGCAGCAGAACAACAGAAGCGACACTCTCAGCAGTGAAGAAATGAAACGTTTCCAAACATTGCAGGTGAAATCCTTCAAAATGGGGCAGAGAGCAGTGGGAGGCCGACAGAACAGCTTTATCCCTGGAGCAAGACGACGCCATAATGTGGCAGCGAAGGAGAAACGTTTATCCTGAGATTATCCTAAACTGATGAAAATGCTTCAGTGTCATAGTGAAGCGCTAATCAACATCCTCCTCCCAGAGAGACTCCCACACTCTCATCTACTGAACTAACACACCTCTGCCATTAGTACCTTGTGTACAAGAGCCATCATGGATCCATCCGCCTTCAGATACAAATATAGTGCTTTTTAACCTTATATTCGTGCTTTACAGGAATGCGATATGAAGAAAGGGCCAAATTCAAGGTTTAATACAGAAAATCCGGCCAACACCATCGATCACCTCTTGACTTCTCAAATGTCAGCAGCACTTGTGGACGTTCTTTATTTATACTGTGGTAAAAAATCATATAAAGCAAATGTCACAATGTAAAAAAAGAAAAAGTTGCAAGCTGTCCCGAAACCTTGGTGTCTACTGCTTGTGTAAAATGAAAAGTGTGGTGACTGTGTGCATCAAACAAATGCAAAAAACACAGATTATACTAAGCTAATGGCATGATACTCTAAATGGCATGAAAATACATTGCAAACTCACACATATAGGGTGAAATAGGCAACAGTTGTATAAGTGTATGCTCTTGCTTTGTCCGCCATATTACACTGAACTCATCACACTTTTCTCTGGGAATATCTTTTTATATGCATATTATATGCAAATATTGTAATTATGAGATCCAAGTACATGAATGACTGCGTAAAGTCAAATTGAAAGTGGAAAACTGATTTGTTGAGTGACGTTTAAAGGAGTGGGTCGATATGAAACATGGCAGAAACACTGATCTATAAGATAAATACTATAATATTATACATCTACAATCTATAAAGAGAGGTCAGTGAGCAGAAAGCAAGTATGGTGTAAAGTTAATCACTAAATGTTCACATTTTACTTGTGATAAAAACATTTAGTTGTGATACCATGTATACTGTAAGTAAGCGATTAACTGAAAAAAGGGAAAAGTGCATTTTTATATTAGTCTTTTTAAAAAATCATGGTTAAACCTGTTTTGTTCAGTTTGGCTAAAAATAAATAGCACTCCCCGTAGATAAAAATAAAATAAACTATTTTATTTAAATAGTATTTCTGCTTGACACCATGTGCAGACACCGGCTAGCTTTACTGATTTTGGTAGTACATAAAAAAGATATAATTTAAAAAGACATTAAGGTCTTTTGAAGAGAATATTCCTCTTTGTTAATAATAAGTAAACCAAATTTATATATATATTTTTCATATTATAGCTAATTTAGCTTTTGTTTATGGTGAAATTAAGCATGCATGCCTTAAAATACTCCCTATGTAGGCAGTTCACTATGGAACTGACCCTATGAATATTTCATGTAAAACTCAGATTTTAAGGACTTTTTTTTATTGTTTTTGGCACTGCTATTTTTCTCTCTTTTTCTCTTCATATGGTGGTATGAATTAGCTTAAGAGGATATTAATCAAATAAATTTCCTATTGCCAAAACGCATTGTTCATAGTTATGGCTATTTAACAAGGCTTTTTTCTATCCTAACTGACTTCTATTATAGAAAGCACTCTGTTTATATTAAGAAAGACAGCTGTAATGAATTGCTCGGTCCTCTGAGATCAAAATGGCCTACATATTATAGCTAATTTAGCTTTTGTTTATGGTGAAATTAAGCATGCATGCCTTAAAATACTCCCTATGTAGGCAGTTCACTATGGAACTGACCCTATGAATATTTCATGTAAAACTAAGATTTTAAGGACTTTTTTTTTATTGTTTTTGGCACTGCTATTTTTCTCTCTTTTTCTCTTCATATGGTGGTATGAATTAGCTTAAGAGGATATTAATCAAATAAATTTCCTATTGCCAAAACGCTTTGTTCATAGTTATGGCTATTTAACAAGGCTTTTTTCTATCCTAACTGACTTCTATTATAGAAAGCACTCTATTTATATTAAGAAAGACAGCTGTAATGAATTGCTCGGTCCTCTGAGATCAAAATGGCCTGCGGGAGGAAAATGCGATGACCAGACTGCTCGGCCCACAGGGACGCGCTCTCCGACTGGCTGGTCCCAGCTGGCACACACTTCCTACCAACCCACAGTCACACGCAATCAATGGGCTGTTAAATAGGTTTGGTACAAGTCCATTCTGTGCTTTAGTGCTGTAAGACTCCTCAGTGCTGCACTAACAGCAGCAGCATACGCTTCATGAAAAAAACCATCAGCTTCTGTTGTATATTTGGGATGAAGGGGCTAGTTTTCACCTGGGGAAGGGTTATAGCTATTATAAACTTTTGAGGCAAACGGCCAGTTGCACAAATGCTTGTTCATTCTGGTAATAATTTGGGTGATTTGGTGATGTGTCATTGCAATCTATAGTATCGTTTCTTTGCAAATCGCATGAGCAACTCATCAGACAGAAATGTCCAATAGAACAGCTCCGTT